GCCGCAAAGGCCACCGCCAGCGCGCGCGCGGCTGAGGCGGCGGAGGCGGCCGGGGCGGCGGAGTCGGGGGAGGGGCGCGCAGCGGACCGCCCCAGCGGCAGCTCCCAGGAGCCGACGCCGGCGCCGGCGCCGCAGGGGGATGGCGGTGCAGCGGATCGGGCGGAGGGCGGCACCGGCGGCGTCAAGGCGGTTGTTGCGGGCGGCGGCGGCGGCGGCGGCAACGTGCCGTACGAGTGGTCGCTGCGGCACCCCGAGCTGGTGCCTGTGCAGCTGTCCCCGGACGTGCTGCCGGACAAGCGCGTGGAGACGCTGCCGCGCCAGGTGAGCACGGGTCCCACGCGCGCGCGTGCCTGCTGGCGTCGCCGCCGCCGACGTGCCCAGGGAAAGGGGCCTGCCCTGTTGTGCGATTCATTAAGTGGCCACGTCAGACGGCGCCGTTTCAAGCACTCGACCCTGTCCATTCCCACGCCCCCGCACCGATCCCCCCCAACCCCTGCCAACCTGTCACTCGAACACTCCCACGCAATCGACATTCACATATCTATCTTCTGCACTCGTCAGTCTGCGTTTCTGTACCACACCTCAAGCCCCGGGCTCGCCCCACAAGCACCCCCAGCTCACCCACCAAATGTCTCCTGCTCTGACGCATGTACCCTGCCCCCTCCCCCTGCTCTCTCTCCCATCAAACAAACACACACACACACACGCACACACACACAACACATGTACACACAAACACACACACCAGGACAACTACTGTGACTGCGGCCTCTTCCTGCTGGCCTACCTCGAGTTCTTCGCCCACGCGGCGCCGCGCCACGGCCTGGAGCCGCGCCTCTTCGCGCCAGACAGACGGCCGCGCGGCGGCGCCGGTGAGTGCCGACCGCACGCAACAGCGCGCACCGGGCATCTCTGCCACCTCCAACTTTGCCATCACCCTGCTTCTTTCTGCCCCTGTCCTCACTCCGTGCTTTCCCTTGACCACGCCACGTCGCCACTGGGCACGTTGACCCGATCTCGTCACCTCCAACCACCCCTCCAGGGCCCGACGTGGCCTCGCCCGGGCCCTCCATGTCGTCGTTCCCCGGCTTCCTGACCGCCGACTGGTTCAGCCCGCAGAACGCCAGCCTGCTGCGCCGCTGCATCCGCGGCCGCATCCACCGGTTGCTTGCGGAGCAGGCGCGCGGGGAGGGGGCGGAGGCGGCGGCGGCGGAGCTGAGGCGGCTCGCGGACGAGGAGGAGGACCCGACCAAGCAGGAGTGAGCGGCTGCGTGTGGGGGGTGGGGGCTGTTTTGTGTGTGAGTTGTTGTGTGTGTGTGTGTGTGTGTGTGTTTGTGTTCTTGTGAGAGTGTGTGTGTATGCGTGTGTATTTGGGGAGGCATCCCCATGCCCTGGCGGGGCCGTGCCTGGCGAGGAAAGGGGTGGTCGGCGCTGGGCGCCCGGCAGGGTCGCGGATGGCGCTGCCCCCACCATACCGCAGCCCTGCCCACACCCAGACAACCTGGCGCGCTGCCCACCCCAAAAGAAGCCTCGCCCTGCCCACACCCAAAAAAACCCTTGGCGGCCCCAGGTACACCGTGCGCTACCTGGGTCCGCGCCAGTGGCTGGAGAGCTATGACATCATCCAGGAGACAATACGCAACCAGAGGGCCACGGAGGAAGCCGCCAGGGCACGGCGCCGCCTGGAGCGGGAGAACCGCCAAGCGCGAGAGCAGGAGGTCATGCGCGAGCGCGCGGCCGCCGCCGCTGAGCAGCGGCGCGGCGCGGGCAGCGCGGCGGCAGGCGCGGCGGCACCGCAGGGCTCGCCTGCGCGCGAGGCGGCGGCAGGCGAGGGCGTGGCGGG